TATATATATATAGAGGATCTGTCAGCCCCTGTGGAGGTTGCCTTCGGCAGGGGACCATTTTGTGTAAGTCAAAGAAATGTTTTTTAACAAGCTCTCCTCCAGTGGATTGTATTTAAATGATTCTTTTTTCTTTGTATTTAGTCTTTTTGTATTGATGTTATAAAAAAGGCAAATATATCAAAACTTAAAGCATTTTTATACAAAGTAAACGCAAACAAACCATTTATTAACCGAATCTTTCACTTTTCTTGATTGTCTACAGCCTCTGACCATGCAGGTAACTATGCTCTTTTTACACATCACAAAACAACTTATTAAGAAAAGAAAATGTGGTCAAAACTGAACAACTGTTTGAGATACAAATATATAAAATATTCAATTTACACTCCAATAATTGTTACCAACAAGACCTCTTAAATCTTTAACGTAGAAAATAATTTCAAACCTTTATAGTTTTCTATCTACACTCCATAATTAGTGGTAATTATCCTTTTTTTTTTTCACCAAGCAGGACAGACGCAGTCAACATTTATTACAGAAGAATATGAAGGGGTGTATTCAACGTATTCCACAGAAGGACAGCCAATTTCATGGCGAAGGTAAGCCGTAAGAAATAAATGTTGTAATACCTGTCAACTGGTCCAATGAAATAGATTGAGTAAAAGTTAATGAATCAAATGTTGTAAACAAATCTAACACAGGTCAGCAGCAGAAATCTGAATGAGGAAATGCATTACAATAGTGATTATTTAATGCACTCCAGTCAATAAAGTAGACTGGTAACCATTATCTTATCATAATTAAATGTGTTAACAAACTTTAGTTTGACTTTTTGTTTTGTGCAATATTTTTCAAATGTCATGATTTCTGTTCATTAAAATAAGTCTATCTACCTTTATTTCATATATTTGTTTATACTTTTATTGCACAAAACAAACAAAAGTAAACATAATTTTATATTTAAAAAGACTTTTATAAGTCAGTTCAGGACGGACAAATGAAGAACTTTCTGATTTGATTGCTGCTGTTAGCAAAGTAACGTTCATTTGTCCGTACCTTCAAAACCAACTGCTGTAAGTACTTGACTTTTAGTAATTAGTTTGAAAATGTAATTAAGTTCAACCTCTTTAATATCCAGAGAGGAGGACCAGCAGAGAGAGGACCAGCAGAAAGAGGACCAGCAGAGAGAGGACCAGCAGAGAGAGGACCAGCAGAGAGAGGACCAGCAGAGAGGAGGATGTTCCCTGTGCCATAGAGAATGACTTCGACAAGCCCATCCAAGACCTTTTTCAGAAGTTTTATCTTCTCCCGCCCAACAAAGAATTAAATTATACAGACATTATAACATTTCCAAAGTCTTCTGCATGTACCAGACCACAGCCGATAAAACAAATTTATGTTTATGAGAACCGTGTCATTTTTGATCAGGAGGCAAGTATAAATTATAGTTTTGATGAAACGCCTCCAGATAGGCCCTTAAACACTGAGAAGCCCATCGTAAAGCGAAAACAATTTGCATGTGGTTTAATTTCCAAGAAAGAAGGTCAATATAAGCTTTTTCCATGTGTTGAGCCAAAACATAGAGAAAAGAGACCAAAGTCTGAGAAATCCTGTGAACGTACATTCCACAGTGAGGAGCTATTAATTGAAGATATAGAAATATTCCTATTAGAAAATGGAGCCAATGTACGACATGTTTTCATATTTTCCAAAAACAGTCCTTGTCTAAAAAGAGCGAAAAACATCACTCCCTGCATGTTTCTACTCTTAAAGGCTGCTAATAAGTGGCACGCTAAATATGGAATCATTACATATGTGATATTCACCGAGTTTTGGGGAATCATAGGTCTAAATTATTATAGCTATGTAAAAACAACTGATATCTCAGGTCACAGCAGCATTGTCCATCCTTCAGAAAGTGAGAAATTGGAGAAAAAAACATCCAAGAGAAAACATATTGAAGAACCTTTCAGATTGAACAATAGGAATTTCAGAAAACGTTGTATAGAACTTGGTATTTTTCAGATAATCCGTGAAGTTCAACTCGGTAATAGAGAAGATCTCAACAGTAATCTTAAATCTGGCTTAAAAGAATTACAGAGAAAGGCCAGTTTATCCATACAGACGTATGAGGAACATTTACTAAATGGAACACAACAGATTGGGAAATTAACATTCTTAAAAGATGAAGAACTGGATATCTCCTCCAGGATATCTGAAATTTTGGAAACGTGCTGGAAAGAAATGGTTAATGATAGTCTATGCACAGAAATAATTGGAAAAATTAATCGTGATTATAACATCGAAGTAGTCGAAGACTTTCAGGAAGCTTTGGGAAGCAAGAGTCCACTGAGGCTTTATCAGGTCTCTGAGGATGAACTAGAGAGTTTAATACGTTTAATACAGTTTTTTTAATTCTTTAAAAATGTGGGGTACCAACTGTAATTAACACAATAATGTGTTAGTTACAATGTTGTAACTCACATGTAATATTTATCTGGATATTTATTGTCTGCTCTGTCCTGAGCTCATTGTAATAAAAATCTTTAAACTGATGCTCTGTGTGCTTTGATTTTTTTCTCATAATCGACTAAATGTTTCTGCTTGTGGTCAGACCTTCAAAACTCTCCGGTGTTGAATATAGCCTACATGTGTGGACATGTGAGTGGGTTGGCTGCTGTCTTTATAAAAAAAATTAAAAAAAACATGTACATGTATTTGTTTGTCCTCTCACTCTTAGTCACCTGCCCTCCACTTTCAAACATGTTACTTCCCAAACACCTGAGGGCATCATCAGATCCACCATTCACTGCATCTCTTGTTGTACCTGTTTTTCTTGAGGACATGTTAGCCAAGCCTTTTTTATAGCCTATTGTACTCTTTAGATGTGCGCCCAGACAATGTAGTCAGTCCAGCTTTATTGGTGAGGTAAAAATATTTGATTATTATTCATTCTTTAGAGAAGGGACAGAATATCATTTTAGTTTACAGGTGAGTCTCGCTCTTTGTGTTTTCTTTAAGGCATTGTATGTTCAACTTGTATCCACAACTAAAATAAATTACCAACTTGTAAATGAAAGCACAGAATAAGTTTACCATAATCATATTTGTTTGACTTTGTCAGAGAATAAGCAACTAGTGAGTGATCCAGTGCTCCCCTGAGACCAGAAGGTTGTTGTATTGATTTCAAGTACACAAGCTAGTAACACACTGATTTGATTTCCTTTATTTGTAGTTTTATGACTGATACATGACCTTGTTAGATACCATTGTCCCAGCACACTTACTGTAAATGCATTTCACATGGAGCATTGATAATTGGCACAAAAAATATACAAATATAAATCCCTGTGTATAATACTGACTTAAACAAAAGGGAATAAATAATTATCCAAACATGACATGAAAAGATACAATTTCAGGGTCGTATCATGTCAGGACAAAACATGTTTTTAATGATGTGCTGAGTTGTTTTAATTCAGTGTTCATTTAATCAAGAGGGGAAAAAACAAAAAACGAATCCAATCTTCAACTTTTTGCCCTTACATATTTTAACTTGACATCTTATCTGAGCGGAGTTCATAAAAATAATGTGTGAATATACTTCAACCAGATCAGACTGAGTCTGGAGATTCTTTACTTGGTCATGGAGTTAAAATGGCTTCACAAGAAAAAGACAGGAAAAAAAAAAAAGCACAAAATCATTTCTATCACCAGCAGTCGGCACAGGTGAAATTTGAGCTTCTTCTGCTTTCTGCACAAGTGATTTGTCAAAACTATTTTTAATTTTAAAAAGCACAGAGATGATTCAAACATTAAATGGATTGAAGCCCAGAGGATCTATAAGGCAAGCAAGCTCATAATGTATATACATATATTAAGGTTACTATTTACAGAGTGTTTACATATTGTTTCATCGCTCTGCCAACATTTGGGATGGGCTTTGTCTCCCCCTATTGGTTAACCCTAGTGTAACACTGCAGACAGAAGTACAGTCATGCTTTCAAATCTGACATTACGACGCACTCAGACGGTACCAGGTCCAGAGTGACCAGAAGAGCCCCTCCCAGAACAAAAGTTCAGAGTGATCTGACACCCACCACAGCCGGGTCTGACACCCCCTAACCTTCTGAAATAACAGCAAGGACATCACGGTCTCCTGATGTTGGTTTTGATTTCATCTTTTCCATATTGCTTTGCTTTATCCTGGCTTCTAAGATGAAGACATATTATGATGTGTAACTACACAGCTGCATTTAAGGAGTGAGAGGGTGCAGATGTGCTCCCTCACTTTCTAATGTTCAACACAAACAATATACAGACATCACAAATGATAGAAAAGCAGATATGATACCTCACAAACAACTGCAACTCTTAGGACTACTCTATGTTCAAGGAGGGAGCGCTAACACTCAGTTACAGCGTTATCTTAAGAGGCTGATAGCAGTTATTATTACTAATATCACATGACCGAAAGAACTCATTAAAATAGAAGCTTAATAAAGAAAAAACAATAGATGGATAAAACTCGAGTTGTGTTTATATGAAGGATAACAAAGCCAACAATAAACAAACCAGCACTGTAAACAACTAACTGTGTGAGAGACCTGAACTTAGCAGAGCCAGACTCACTCTTAATAGTGCAAAAATAAAAAGGGGTGGGGCTAAACTCTTACTAAAGGACGAGCTCTGAGGCCTATGTTTCAATCAAAAAGGCCAACGGAAAGTAAATAGAGAACTGAAACAGGGTTGATCAAATGGCATCCTGTAATATAGTTATTCAGATATGGTGGAGGGAAAAAAAAATCTAAAAGGTGATCACACTTCACAGAAAAAAAAAAATGTCTGTGCTCCAGGGATGACAACTTCTGACCTGTGCCTCCAGCATCCCTGTCAGGTCCACATAAGGACCAACAGGTGTCGCCTGCTCACACAGGGAGGGAGGACGTCTAGATTTCAACTGGAAGCTATAGAAGAGTATGCCAGAGAAAACAGGGGGCCTCCAATTTAGAAAAAAAGGAATGAAGAATATATTTGACTAGAGAAACTTCAATTCAAAACAGCTTTAGACTCTTGGCGTGTACTAAGAGGATCTATATACGTCAAGGGGTTAAAGGAAAAAAGAGATTTTATAAGGATATATCGCTAACCACCATTTGGTTAAATAGAAAGAAACATCCCAACAGTTTATACATAAAATATGATTAAAATGAAGTTAATCAATGTTGAAGACCTGTTCTTAACTTTGAGGTGGCCACATACTGCTTAAAACAAACCTGCACATTGCCAGATTTTAAGCCAACATGAGGGACACAATCTTAGTGCTTGCTCTATTGTTAAGTACAGTGGGTATGTGTTTGTGTGGTGGCCAAACAGGGGGAGAGGGGCCTGCAGGCTGTGGGTGGTGCAAGTTTAGGCAGGTGGATGTGGACAGCAGGCCTCATGGTGGCGTCTCCGCATTAGTAGTTGTAGTTTTTTTCTTTGTCGTTGTCTTCTTCACTGTCTTGGTCTGAGTCTTGCAGAGGCGGGAGAGAGGGGGACAGGAGGGAGGAGGAAAAGAGAAAGGGGTGGAAGTAGGAGGAAAAAGAGAAAAGAAAGACAAGACGTGATTGTTAAAAACTGTGAGCAAGTCCAGCAAGGTTTGCCTAAAGTCAGAGGTTAAACTGAATTTTTTGAGAAATGATATTTTTAAAGGGCTATTCCACCAATTTCAGACAAACAGGTCAGTTTACTCTTTTTTTTTACTTTTCCAGTCTAGCCCTTGGAAAAAAAAAAAAAAAAACACCATACACTATTTCTGTGCATTTGCTCACTCACAAAATCCATCCAGCAGTTTTTCTGTCATTTTGGGCTCAAAGAAAGCCAAAGTGATTATTTGTGGACCAAAGAGTGATGGGACCATTACAGCTCTACACTACAATATCAGTCATAAAACCCTCACTATGAACTTTGAAAAATATGGTCAAGTAACATACAGGGAAAGTCTATTTAAGAATTCACACTCTGGACTAAAAGTTGGGATATTCAGTCAATATAGGTTCAAAAAACTCTGTTAACCTTAAAAAAACAACAGAATAACTAGGACATCATTAAAAAGGCAGGGTTGAACCACTGTCACCTCTGGGAGGGACATTTAAAACAAGAGAAACTCTCTGTTTCTCTGCAGAATATGTTATTGTCAGTAAACTGACACAGCCCACAAACAACTTTCTCTCTATTTTCTAATACAGAATAACGTCAACATCACTGCTCCTTTGAGACGCCATCTCTCTACTGTGCCGGTTTACATCTGGGCAGTAAGGCGGGGACAGCAGTCCCACTAACCAAAGCTTCAGCTGGGCTAGTTGCAGGCGTCTGAGTTACAGCTTAAGCCCGGCGAACATTGTACGATTGAACAAAATAGCTGCGGAATGCCAGTTTACACTGTCCGACTGAATTGTTTTTAAGACTCACAAAAAAAATGCAAACATGGCAGAAAGTCATCACACCTGTCGGGAGCAGCCAATCAGGCTTTGATCGCCCATCGGGCCCCCCTGCATATTGCACGACTTCTGTTGAGCGATCACCACAACTTCAAAATTTATCATACAATTCTAAAATCATGTCAAAAGTGGGCTGAAAATTGAAATTGTATAGTGTACTCCTTCAGAAAAAAAGATTTAATAGCAAACAACATTTAAAAGTCAGTTTAACTGACTAGTCATTGTAGTGATTTATTCTTTTAGTAAACACATCTCTAATAGTGAACCAAAATCTCACCATTTTATAGGTTTCACAGTTTATGACTTTAAAATCATTCATTTGCTCTTGGGAGCACAAGAACATACCGAAACAGACCCACCTCTAAAAGAACAAAAGTAACATCAAACCGTCTGTTAATGTGACGTAAACTAACTTTCTTACTAAATAATCGACACCATTGATAATAAGTTTGACCATTCATAGAAACCATAAAATCAAGCAACTTTTTTTTCACACTCTTTAATCTGTACACATCACTAAACCAAAAAATGAATCAACCTTACTCTTGGCTCGTCTTCTAGTGTGTCTATGTGTGCGTGTGTGTCTCTCTGAGTTCACTGACCCCTACCTCTGTCTTTGCAGCTGCAGGTTTCTTGGTTGCTTTGATGGTGGTGCTGCGTTTGGGGGGTTTTTCTCCTACATCTTCATCAGAGTGTTCAGTCCTTGTGTCTGATTGGTCAGAGCTGTGTTGGGACGACGCATCGTCAGCATGCGCCAATGAGCGAGCTGCAGGATGAGACAAAAATCAGTGGTGACTAAATGAGAGAGTCACTCAAGTTTCATACTCAGAGCAGGTAAAACAGCTGATGAGCTGGTCCCCTCAGAACTCTATTTATTTGTCAGGGGAAATACATTTAGACATTGTTACATCTAATTAAAGTGCAATTGATGCAATGTGGACTTCTAGCCAGGGCTTATGGGACGTCACTGCGGTCATAGCCTCCTTTATTACCCATGACCTCATTCAAAATTGCACTTTTTCTTTACCACTTTTGCAGTTTAGAGTTTGTAATATAACGAGTAGGTCATTCTAAATAGTGGTCTCTTCTTACAGGATCCGAATAGAGATGTTCTAAATGAATTAAAATATGTTTGTCACTGCTGATGAAAGCAACCCAGACCCCTAAAGGGACACTTAAAATGAAACAGTCAAGCTTTCACTTGTTTGGGAAGTCCCTAATAAGAACTCACAGAATACACAGCTGTGGTTTCTAACTTTGTTGGTGAAGTTGGTCACAAGATGAATGTGAGGGGGGTGTCACGGAATAAAAAATATGAAGCTATCTAAAAAATAAAAAATAAAACACCTGAAAAAATGTATATTTCAAAGACTTTTTAAAAATTGTATTAACTAGTAAAATATGAGTTTTACCTCTTGAGGTTGACATTTTTACACAAATATATTACACATATTACAGTGGTGCAGGTGAAACTTTACAGGCTAACTGGTCTACTGTGTGATTTAAGTCACATTCTGCAGCAGTTTTTTTTCCCCAAGTGAGAGTGTCATCCTGCTTATTGTCTCATGCCTAGAGGTTCATATTCTTCAGTTGGTGAAAGACATTGATGATACATGTATACGTGCATTCTGGAGTGACACAAAAGGGGTGTTCATAATCAAGGAATCTTTTACAGCAGTGGTGGTGAATTGTGGATCACGGATTGGATCGTCTTTTCCGATCGACCAAAAAGAAAAGGCATTTAAAATACAACTATTGTATCAAATAATAATTTTTAATATAGTCTATTATATTACAATTATATTAAGAGAGGCAGTTCAAACTCTCTTATTTAGAAAGTGCTTTACAATCTGAGAAGGAACAACTTTAGTGAATGTCTGTGTGTCTGTTTACCTGCTGCACTGCAGCGTGTGGGTCAAGTGGGGCGCGTGAGTTTAGGGACTATATCTTCAGTTTTTGGATTGACTAATATCGTTACAGCAGGCTATAACAGGCTGTATTAAGTGCAATACGCAATATTGTATGCAAAACCTGAAAGGCGGATCAGTGTGATCCCTTTCACTCCTAAAAAGCAATTGAAAGAAAAGCAACACCCTACTTACACTTCATGGTGTATCTTTTAAATTATTTTCTCATTGGTTAACAAACAAACAACCAGAAAGCAGCAGATCAAGGTAATGGCTCAACATCGTCAGATTAAGAAGCTGTGATACATGAAGTTCCACTGATTCTATGTCTCAGTTCACAGCTCACTGGCCCACACAGCCAGCCAGCCGGCAGTGTAGCAAGACACAAAGCCTCTCCTCCCACTTGGATCACATGCTTTCAACAGCATGTTGCATCTCCCCCCTTCCCTGCCATCCTTCAGTGCCTTAAATCACATGACACTACTTGGCCCAATTATGCCTAATCCTGCTAATAAATCAAAGAAGTCCTCTGTGGAAAATGCAGCCTAATCACCAATCCGGACTCAGATTATGGATGTATTAATGCTTTCTTGCATTTGAAGCTGCTAATGAAGCAGTGTACATTGTCCATGTTGTGTAGGCTTACTTTGCCGTGCAGCAGTGCTCTTGGCTCGGGGCAGCGTGCTGGCCCCTGAGCTCATCTCATCCATGGTGTCCCGTCTCGTGCGGGACTCTGACCTGTGCAGAACCAGGTCATCGTCAGCGTTGATGAGCGTCAGGTCCTGCATGCTGAAACTCCGCAGCTTGTCTGACAATACACCTTGCCCCTGGGAATCACCGGAAAAAAAAGAACCAAGTTAAATCAGAGAAGTAACAACATGAGTAAATTGTTTATCTACCGCTACATCACTAATAACTTAGAGTTTATGTTTAGTGAAAAAAAGTGCAGTGTAAAAGTTTATCCACGCAAGGCTGCCAAGATGGGACAAACATTCTTGGCCATTATATTAAGCAGCCAATGTTCTAAATATAAATGTCTATTTTATGTCACTGCCAACTTTAGATTATTCCAAAACTTGAAATAAAATCCTCCTGATTGTATCATTTGGAGCTGGAATGGTTCGTAAATTAAGTCCCTAAGCGTTACATTTAACATCCCTCTGGATTTCATCCATTTGAAGAACTTACCTCTGGTTAGGCATTTTTTTCCCCTCATGTTTTTTTACGTAAATGAAAAATAATCACGATACTAAAATTCAACTCTATTGTTATATTTTCTTTTTTAGATAAACTGCTTAGTAAGCAGTGAAAGTTAAAATACAAGTGCGAAGATGGGCACAATGCAGTCACTTTAAAAGGAGGTACCGGTTTTCTTTCCAAGTTCTGTTATCGTGTCTTGTCCATGTCAAACACCCTGAAAACATGAATTTATACAATTTGTCTGTTGTTTAAAAATAATGCAGTGTTCACCTTGGTGGCTGCAGTGACAGCAGCGGTAGCAGCGAGGTTGAGACCCCTCTTTCCAAACCTCATCATAGTCTCATAACTCCTATCTTTGGCCTGAGCGATGTACTCATCTATTTCCTATGGCACAGGTACACAGTTGAAGGGGAA